ATGGCTGAGGTCATTTGGTCTGTTCTGCCTGGAGAAGAGGAGACTGAGGGGAGACCTCATCACAGCCTACAATTTCCTCACAAGGGGAAGTGGAGGTGCAGGCACTGATCTCTTCTCTCTGGTGACCAGAGGAAGGACCTAAAGGAATGGAATGAAGCTGTGTCAGAGAAGGTTTAGGTTGGATATTAGGAAAAGGTTCTTAGCCCAGAGGGTGTTTGAGCACTGGAACAGGCTCCCCAGGGAAGTGGTCACCATACCAAGCCTGACAGACTTTAAGAAATGTTTGGACGACACTCTCAGGCACATGGTGTGACTCTTGGGGCTGTCTTGTGCAGGGCCAGGAGTTGGACTTCAATGATCCTTGTGGGTCCCTTTCAAGTCAGGATATTCTATGATTCCATGACCTGACAATGTATGCTTGCAGCCTGGAAAGTCAACCATATCCTGGGCTGCATTAAAAGAAATGTGACCAGCAGGTCAAGGGAGGTGACTCTCCCCTCTACTCTGCTCCCATGAGATCTCACCTGGAGTATGATGTCCAGTTCTGGTGCCCTCAGTACAGGGAAGACATGGACCTGTTGTAGCAGGTCCAGAGGAAGGCCATGAAGATGATCAGAGGGCTGGACCACCTCTCCTGTGAAGACAGGCTGAGAGAGCTGGGGTTGTTTAGCCTGCAGAAGAGAAGGCTGAAGAGAGCTTATAGCACCTTCCAGTACCTAAAGGTGGCCTACCAGAAAGATGAAAAGGAACTTTTACCGGGGCATGTAGTGATAGGACAAGGCGGAATGGCTGGAATGGCTTCAGACTGAAAGAGGGTAGGTTTAGATTAGGAAGAAATAAGGAGGAAATTCTTCACTATGAGTGGTGAGGCACTGGATCAGGTTGCCCAGAGAAGTTGTTGCTGCCCCATCCTTGGAAGTGTTCATGGCGAGGTTGGATGGGGCTTTGAGCAACCTGATCTAGAGAAAGATGTCCCTGCCCAGGGGAGTTGGAATTAGATGTTCTTTAAGGTCCCTTCCAAGCCAAACCAGTGTATGATCAGGTAGCACTTCAAGCCTTTACACCCAACAAAATGCCATACACTATTCTCAGACTGATTTTGCTCAGATTTAAAGGGCTATTTATGGTCAAGGCTAGAAAAAAAAAGTCTTTGAAAGTTCTTGGACCACAAAGCAAACTGGATTTTTTTTTTCCTGCTGTTGTTGTTTGAGGTATTCAGGAAACCACTATCCTCATAAGGGATTTCAGTTTCAGCAGCACTATTCACTAAATTACAGTTTACTGTCAGGATTGAGATAAAAAGAAATTAAAATTTAACAGCAAGGATTGACGCAGCCCACAAAAACCAGGACATATGCCAGAAGAAACACCACAGACCCTACACAGTCAGTATCTACTCATTCAGAAAACAGATTACATAAAGGAGTGAGAATGAAAAGAAAAGACCCAGGCTCAGCACAGCAGCTGTCTGTTAAGACAGTCCCCTCTTCTGGGGATGTAAGTGATGTGCTCCTCCCGCCTGCCATACCACCACCTCAGCTGTCACTTCCTTCTTAGTCCCCCCTCATCTGCCCTCCTCTTCACAAGTCTCTTATTTCCCTCCATCCAATAATCATACAGATCTGGCTGCCTTCGCACACTTCCACTAAGCTTTCTAATGCATATGAAAACCAACCAGTAAGTCTGTGCAGAGCTCTCTGACTGCACTGCAGAAGCAGCCAGACTTTTACTGTCTTTTCCTCACCCACATCTCACGGAAAATCCCACCCACTCAGCTATTTTCCTCTTTCCTCTACTTAGTGAACAGTGTTGCAGTCCCCAGGCCATAAGTTTTCATTCTCCTCCTAGATGAAGCTTCAGGTTTCTAAACCCATAAATAATCTCTGTGTATTAAGAATCATAGACCTAGCAAATTCCTTGATATTTTAGTTATTTTACAGTACATATCCAAGATGTCCTACAAATGCCTGGTTGAAACCCTGCTTCAGCTTGGCCTGGCTGTCAAAGGTGTGTGGCTACTCCCCACACAGCTGAGGAATTTCACAGAAACTTATCAATATTTAGGAATCTACAAGATCTCCCTCCAGCATTTTACAGAACAAGATTTTTCACGTCACCAAAAAAACATCAACACAAAGCTGGCCCTGTAGGTTCATCTACCCAAGCTATTTCTGCCTGACTCTGCAACTCCTTTCCTTCTGTAAAGCAAACCACAAGTCACACAGGCGCTCTCTCAAGTAAAAAAGAGAAAGATCCATCATTTCAGCTATGAGGGTTTTTAAGTCAATTGGAGCCTGAGTCTTGTGATCTGGGTTGCAGAATTTCTGAACTTGGTGGACACAGGGAATTAGTTATTTCCATTAATCAGCATAGCAGCTTCTCATTTTATTACCCCCACATGAAGTGGTAAACAAGACACCAAGTCCGGTGACCTCCAGAGATGAAGTGGCTGTCAGACAAATCAACTTTCTTCTAGTTTACACACTGCCTGCAGCTTTAAGGATGGTCTTGCAGCTGGAATACATGGAGGTAAAGAACCTAGTTGCAAGTAGCTGGTATCCAAGACATATTGTCACTCACTTAACAGAATGCAGATGTAAACTGCAACAGTATCTGTGCTAAGAGCTGTCGGGTAACAATCCGGGAGACAAATTCTGAAAATCAGCAATAGAACATGCCATCATAGCTGGGTAGAAAAAAATGCTGAATTGTCCATCAGGTCTTAATAATCTTAATCCAAGTACAGAGGAAGCAATGGTCTCCCACTACCTGCAGGAAAAATGGGGATTTGGAAAGGTTCACCTTGGTTTGACTCAAGGAGAAATACTGGCATAATCAAGGTAGACAGCATGGAATCATAAAATAAACAGTATTCATACCATTGCTTCTCTCAAGTCAGTAAGAAAAGGAAGTCCAGTAATAGGAATACATTTTGTTGTGTTATGGTTGCTGTGAAGTCAGAGGCACACAATGCAAAGCTCCAGAAGGAAGCACAAGTGTAGCCATACATATAAAAGGAACAGTAAAACAGTAATGGCACATTCATGTGGCTACAGCTACAAAGCCAGCTGGATGCATGCTTTAAAGAACTGATGTACTGAGATTCTAAGAAATCTATAATGCCTCTTGGTTTTATTTGGTGCACTGATACATTTAACTGCCTTTCCTCTGTTTTTTAACAACACACTTTAAATTTTGTTTTAAAGCCTTTTTGCATGTTGATACTACTTCATCCAACTAAGATAAGAGAACCATCTATCTCTGTGCAGAATGTCCTCTCAATCCATGTGCACAAATGTCCACTACCAATGGCACGTCCATCTCATGCCATGCACAAGATGACTATTTTCTAGTGAAAGGCACAGTATTTTCTCCCACTAAGTAAATCATGCACAAGCCAACAAACAAGAATGCCCATGAGACCTTAAGTTTAAAATATATTCACAGGAAACTGAAAAGTCAGCGCAAAAGATACTAGGCAGGATCCAGTATCAGCTGTCAAGAACAAAAGCCACATCAATGGCCAGTGTCTACACAAAACAGTCATTCTCTCATCAGGGCTGGAATTTGTCATATTCATTTACATACAAGCTAAAAAACCAGTGGCAACAGGGAAAAAAAAAAAAGGAGACTTCTGCCAACTGCTTAAGTCTAAAGACTTTTCATCCACCAGCAGTGTCAGCTCCTTCTGTCCTCCTCAAATGCAGCAAGCCAGCCAGATGGCAACTTTCAGTCCAGTCTCATCTTGTACCAGATCTGCTTTCCAAGCCAGAAAAATATTCAGCCACCTGCCACCCTACATATCAGTGGGAAAAGCAGATCACCCCCTTCCTCCTCAATTATTTCCTTTCCCAAACCATTTAGGGTCACTTAAGCAGTATCATGGGAGCTCCACCAACTGTGTTTCCTCAACCAACAATTAAGCAGGGTATGATCACCCAGGCAGAAAGCTCATCTATGGTTTCCCTAACACCCTTCTTCTTTCAGCCTCATTTTCTTCCTCACTGTCAGAGCCTAAGTCACAGTTCTACACAGGTCACTGCTTCAGGAAAAATTCCCGTGTGGTACCTCATTGGCTGCTTTTTCTGACCAGCACACCAGACAAAACCGGTTGTATTTGGAAGATACTAAAAGCTACAAGTTTTCACTAATCCCAGAAGCTTTAATGAGAAAGGCCTTTCTCTCTCCCTTCCCCGCAAAGGGCATGAGAAACCAGGTGCCCCAGACCAGTCCGAGAACTTGGAGAACATTTCTTTTCAAGTGCAGAAAAAAACTTTTGGGGTCAGACTACACCATTATGGCTGCATAAAGTACAGCTGAAATTACGCTCATTTGCTAAGATTTCTAGTCACAATGTAGGTAAGATCTAAAGATAATGACAACCCACTGCTTTTCATTAAGAAGTCTACGAGCTAGAGTGTGGCAAAACCAGCACTACATTAATTCTTAAAAAAAAAACCAGTCCAGCAAGCTCAAGTGAGTGGGCTGAAGACCTCCGTAACCTCCCGGCTGTGCTAAACAGTGAGAATGGGGAAAGGAGAGAGATCGGTGTGTAAGGTGGGCTCGGCGGGGTCACCAAACCCCACGGCCTTCCCACAGGCGCCAGTCCCCCCACCCTACCCGACGTGCCACCGATACACCCGCAGCGCCGCACAAGCGGCGAGGCTACACCGAAACGAAACGCTGAGGCCGCGGCGGGACAGGCAGAGCCGGCCCTTCCCGCCCGCCGGGAGCCCGAGCGACCCCCGCCGCGCCTGTACCAGGCCTCCCGCGGGCGCTCCGGGCCGGCAGCGGGGCCGCACCCCCCGGGGACGCCCGTCGCGGCGGGGCGGCCGGGCTGGGCTGCAGCTCCCTCGCCCCGAGAGCCCCGCTCCCCGCGCCCGGGACCGTGGCGGCTGCAGGGACGCGCCGCTCCCGCCGTTACCGTGGGCTCCGACGGCGGCGCGACGCCGGTCCCGCTGCCCCGCGCGGCCGCTGCCGGCTTTGGCAGCCGGAGGTGACGCGCTCCCGGGGCGGGGCCAGTGACGCACCGGGGGCACCGACGGCGGAGGCAGGAGCGGTGGGATCGGCGTGATCGGCATGGTGAGCCGGGAGGGGACGGGGGGGGACCGGCTGGGGTCGGGTCTCTCCTCGGCTCATTGCGGCTGACTGTCCGTCTCCCTGCAGGGGAAGCAGAAGAAGGCGCGGAAGTACGCGGTGATGAAGCGCATGATCAGCCTCCGGGATGAGCGCATGTGAGTGTGGCTGCGCTCCCAGGCGGGGCCCTGCAGCGTCCTCCTGTCCCCCTCGGGAGAGGCGGGAGGGGATCCCGGCCCGAGCCTCTCCGCCGCTGGCCGCCCTTCCCTGTCACTCGTCCTAGGGAAGTGCCTGTGTTTCTTTGCAGTAAAGAGAAGGACCGGGCGAAAGCCCCCGTGAAGAAGAAAGAGGACCCGAGCGCCATCAAAGAGCGGGAGGTGTAAGTACTGCCGACACTAGGGGAGAGAGGATGGAGGGAGGGAAGAAGGGAGCGAGGGCCGGCCACGCTGCAGGCTGTAACCGAGGATGTTTCTGAGCAAAACTGTCAGAAAAGGACATGGTATGGCCAAACCAAGGGACTGTGCTTAAGAGGCAGCAAGAGTCTTTCTGCTCATTACTCCTCTTTCATTCTCTGCAAGTTGTGGGATTGGACATGTTGTTAAATGCATTTAACTGATTTGAATTCTTTGTCTTCCTGGCAGCCCCCAGCATCCCTCTTGCTTGTTCTTCCAGTATAATACACAGCTGGGCCCCCCTTACCACATCCTGGTTGACACTAACTTCATCAACTTCTCCATCAAGGCCAAGCTGGACCTAGTGCAGTCAATGATGGACTGTCTCTATGCCAAGTGTGAGTGTCCACACCACTCGCAGCTTCTTCTGACTAAGCAGTGCCACACTGTGCTTGGAATGTGCTTTGTCAGCCTCATGCCACTGGCTGAAAATAATAGAAATCTTGAAAAAAGGATATATGCCATAATCTTGGAGCTGATTGTTCATGGCTATGGTAACCCTGGAACTGCCTCTGGTTTCAGTCAAACAGTGGTCATAAATGCTAGTCTCAACAAAGGTAGAGCATTAATACTTAAATATCTAAAATTACCATGGCATGGTCAAACTCAGTGGCTCTACATTTCATCACTTTGCAACCTTATCAGTTCTTGCTGTAAGTAATATGTTTTAGAGTTCCATGATCGTTCCTGGACATGTGGGCAATATAGAAGTCTGTGAATAAATATTGCTTTGTATTAATACAGGCTTTTTTTGCATGTAGGTATTCCATGTATCACAGACTGTGTAATGGGTGAAATCGAAAAGTTAGGACAGAAGTACCGTGTGGCGTTAAGGTAGGTGCAGGGTGTTCTCTTCTCTTTTGCCATGACATGCTCCTGCACTAGAGGGTGGTTAGGTTGTTGCAGAGTCCTGAACTTGGTTTTAGTTCTCTGGCTGTACAAGATGAGTACAATGTCTCGAGTTTTAGATTTTTTTTGGTTTTTAAAACAAAATGCTATGTATGAGTGCACAGTATCAATCTGTAATTTGTCATTCTCCTAAGACTTTCAAAGTAAGCCTTTTTCTTGTTTCTCAAAAAATATATATTTTTTTTAATTTTAGAATTTCTAAAAATGAATAAAGAAGTGACCTGAGTCTTACGGAACTTTTTACTCATACTTCATGTTACTCCTGTATGAGTAGGTACCATGTATTGATAATCTAGAGCTAGGTTATTGTGTGATCTGTACAACACTAGTCCAATGTAGTTCACATCCTCCACTCAGATGTATTGTTCTTTACTTTTTATTTTGGCCTGCTGTGTTGTAAACTATCCGAGTACATCCCCTAAGCAGCTTCGATGTTGCCCTTCAGAGAGAAGGTGCAATGTCCCTATATGCATGGTGTGAACGATCACACACCGGAAGGAGTTCTAGTTCTTCCCACAGATAACTTATTTCAAATTACTTTGTTTGGCAATGGCCTGACATTTTACAGATTTTGAATCCAACTAACCAGTACTAAGAAATACTTAACCGATAATAATTAGACAAACTGCATTCTTTTTTGCTCCTCATTTCATTTGACTTTTGTGTACCATTTACTCCATCCCTTCAGCCCTTGTTTTGAGAACAATGTTCTGTATATCACAGAAAGGGGTGTTCTTATTCCTCTGTACTGTGTTACTGTACTCTGTGGTCTGATTGCTGTGATGCTGCCTTATATTTCCCCACAGAATTGCCAAGGACCCTCGGTTTGAACGCTTGCCATGTATGCACAAAGGAACCTACGCAGATGACTGCTTGGTACAGAGGGTCACTCAGGTATTTCCCTCTCTGACATTTTCTGTTCTGTGCTAACATACTAAAAATTCTTGAACCCTCCTAACTACTAATGACTTAAATTTCCCACAAAGTAACTACAAAATTTCACTAAGGGGCAGTTTCAGTCCCTAGAACAACTGTATTTGATGCAAGGTATTGTCTTCCCTGGGCATTCTTGTTGCACAGAACAGCATCAAGAACCACTGAGGATGGGAAAGCTGTCAGCTTGGAAGGCTGGACAGACCTTCAGAAATTTCTGTGAGTCTATTTTGACGAGCAGAAGGATGTTACTAGTCTACTGTGGAATTCTGTACAAGTCCTAGTAATGCCTTGCTAAGGATTCTTAGCCTTCTTGTGTTTAACGAGCTCACTGAATAGAAGTGTTTGATCAGTTATGTCTTCTTTCTGTGGGCTCGCTGGTGTTAAATCTGACCTGCCTTCTTTTTTTGCAGCACAAATGTTACATTGTGGCCACCGTAGATAAAGAGCTCAAGCGGAGAATACGAAAAATCCCTGGAGTGCCTATAATGTATATTTCCAGGCACAGGTAAGGGCCCCCTGACAGAGAAAAACCCTGCCCAGTATAATCCTTGTCTGACAGGAACTCTGTCACCGTGGACTTCTCTCCTGAATTGTCCGTAGTGCAGGCTGCAGTAAAGGGCCTGGTGTTTGCACAGAAGTTGAAGTACAGCTACTGCTGGGAAGAGACTGGCCACAGACCCACTTTTATTGCAGTCTGCTTGTTCACTTGTCTTTACCAGGAGAGCTACTCTCCTTGAGGCCAGTGTTTCCATAGATCAGTTTTGCTTACCAGCAGCAGCAGGACTACCAGGCAATGCATTCTGCAGGTCCTTGAGGAAAAGAAAATTCTTGTTCCATATTCCATTTGGTAGCTTTGTGTACCCTCACTAAGAGATTGAATTTGCTTCTTAGCTAAAAACTAAACAACTCAGAAGGATACTAGTGCAGCATGTTGGAAATGAGGAGGTTGATTGCTAGAAATATGTAAAGTCTTAAGTGATCTATAATTAGAATGTGGCTCAAAAGATTTTTCTCTCAAAACATCTTTGCCTCTTATTCAGTATGGCCATGAACTTTTGGAACGGGATGCCCAGGGGTGTAGTGGAGTCACCATCCCTGGAGGTGTTCAAGAAATGCCTGGACATGGCACTTAGTGCCATGGTCTAGTTGACAAGGTGGTCTTTGGTCAGAGGTTGGACTTGGTGATCTTGGAGGTATTTTCTAACCTAAATGATTCTGTGATTCTGTGAATTATAAGTTGAATGTCAAAAGTTTTATTCTCTGTGGTGGTCTGCTCTTAAATTCTAAGTCTTACAGAACCACCTTTTTTTTCCTTCTCTGGAGATGGTGAGTTTCTGAGATGCCTGATTTCTGAGTTTAAGGTGAAGAATAACAGCAATGTTATGAAGACCTTTTACTTTCAGAAGTAATATTTTTCTTCCTGGGAATCCGAGCTGCAGATAAAAATGCAACAAAGCTTGCTGTTCAGTCTGCCTGTAAGCCTGTTGCCGGATGGTGTCATGAATGGGTGGTTTAGGCCATTGCAACAATCACCATTAAAGATATTAGCAAAAGCAAGGTTTAATATAAATTTGCAGAAGTGCAACTTAACAGAGTTTGATGTCAAGGTTCACTCTCTTACTACATGGATGAAAAATGCAAAGGAAAATCAGCTTAGAATCACTTTAGGATGACTTGCATGGAGACTGGGAGTGCAAAGTGTAAGGAAGACCCTCCAGTTGAGTCACAAGGTTCAGAAAGGATCTCCTTGCTTTCTAAACTCCTGACAGAGTCTAGGTGGGGCTGAATCCAATCCTAGTCCCAGGCTTGGTCAATGGTTTATGTCTAAAAATTCAATATAAAATCCTTCCATTGGGTTACAAGGTTCAGAATGGACTCCCTTACTTTTCAAACTCCTGATGGAATCCAGGTGTGGCTAGATCCAATCTTAGTCCCAGATTTGGTCAACAGTTTCTGTCTAAATTAGATTTTAGCAGCACCTAATCATTGACTAACTTAACATTTATAAAGTGATTCAATAGGATTTACTACAATTATAACAATGACTTAATTATAGATTCAGGAAACAACATTCATACTACACTTGGTAAAGAGTATTTCAGCCAATTCACACGTGTGCACATGGACACAGAGATGGATGTATCTAAATGTATAAAGGTACCTGGTAAAAATTCTCTTCAGGTTCAGTGAAATACATTGAATGCCTCTGCGTTTTTCAACAGGCAAAGGCTGAGCTACGGTCCTTCAAGTATCGCATACTTGCAAGTTCATGACCTCTGAGAGGTGTCCCGCTCAGAGGGAGGTGCTTGTATAGCACTCTGCAGCCCAGGAGAGCTCAAAGGGCCTCACTTAAGACCACTCTTTATAGAATCGCAAGGTGATTGGTTTTAGTTGTCCATAAATTGTACATCTCGGCCACAATCCAGATTGGTAATTACTCTAGTTTCCAAAACTCCAGTAACAATGGTACCATTCCACTCAGGCCATGATTCAGATAGGGCAGGAGATGACTGCTTAGTTGCACTCACATCCTTCACCGTAGCCAGGCAACAGGAGTTCCTGGTACAGTCAGTGCTATTCCATCTTAGTCGTGCAAGACTTCCTGGTATGTTCAAAGGATGCTTCACTGCCCAACTCTTTACACAAAGACCAAGGCCTGTCAGGAATCCCTGAGATCATACAGCAGCCCCAAGGAGGAGGAGGAGGTAGATGCTCCACCACAGTGGGGAGGAGAGCAGTGTGGAGTAGGTTGTCTTCATAAGTTTTTCTTCTTTCTCAGGTACAACATTGAAAGGATGCCAGATGATTATGGAGCTCCTCGATTCTAACCTGTCCAGCCAAGCCATTGATGCCAGGACTCTGAGCCAGGATAAGGGTCCTTCTGATTCCAACCCTCCTGCTTTCTCTTTTACTCATAGGACCATGGCTGACACTGAACTGACTTCTTAGCCTTGATTTTCTAAGAAGAAGGTATTTTGAAGAGTCTGGTTTTATTCATCCTTGTTCTGACTTGGTCTGATTACCTATAGCTGAGAGAAGCGTATGGGAAACAGAGGGTGGCAGTGCCCAGAACATACCTACCTCTGTCTTCATTGGGATCATTGCAAAAAGTGATTTCGGCATTCTGAATTAAATACTGATGATGCAACTCTGGCTGAGAATGAAACCACAGAAATTTTAGAAGTTTCTTATTGCTGTACCTGCAGTGGAACAGGTATTTCTCTGGGGAGGTCCCTCACACCTGTTTCCTCAAACAAATCAGAACTTGCGTTCTGGAGAAAAGACGTCAGATCTGCACCAGTTGGTGGGCCTTCTCTGGAACAGCAATCTAGAAGATTTTGGGAATTGATGATCTGGGAATTGATGGGCTTTTATTCAGCTGTACAATGAATGATGTTTGGTTAAGTGTCCTGCTCAGATTGTCCTGTCTTTAGTGGGTTAGCTGGCAGTCTGGTCCTTTTGCTTACATTTAGAGTGGTGGAGACAGGGTAGGGTTGGGTTGGGACAGATCTCTCTCTCTTGTTTGCTTGGGACCTATGCACCTCAAACCCTTATCACTTCCATTAGGTATCAGGGAAGAGGAGGAAGGTGTCAAATGGGGAAAGGTATTAATGTGAGCTGGGATCAGAGTCAGTGTTGGAGAATAAGAGCAATGGTTGCAGATAGTCTCCCAGCAGCATTTACTGCAGGGAAGGAAGTGGTCAGAGGAGGAATGGAAAGCAATGGTTAAGCCACATGGAGAAATGCAGGGGGAAAAGTATTTCAAAGCCATAACTCTGCATTCTCATATCTTCTCCATTACTCCTTAGTTCTTAGCAATATAATTTGCTCTTACGATCTTTGCTCTGTGGTGAGGACAGGGCCAGCAGGGGCCAACATGCTAAAGTATGCTTCCTGGCCAAAATACAGGACAAGACTGAAAATTTATATTCTTGGTAAAAATCAGAAAATTTCCAAACTTTATTGGAGTTTTTATCCTGTAGTGCCTTACATTGATTTGGCTGCAGAGGTGGCCAAGAAGGCCAATAGCATCCTTACCTGTATCAGAAATAGTGGGGCCAGCAGGATTAGGGAAGAGATCCTGCCCCTGGACTCGGCATTGGCGAGGCTGCACCTTGAGTCCTGTGTTCAGTTTTAGGCCCCTCACTACAAAAGAGACATTGAGGTGCTGGAGTGTGTCCAGAGAAGGCCAGCAGAGCTGGTGAAGGGTCTAGAGCACAAGACTTATGAGGAGCAGATGAGGGAGCTGTGGTTGTTTAGTCTGAGGAAAAGGAGGCGCAGGGGAGATGTTATCACTCTATAACTACCTGAAAGGAGATGGTATCCAGGTGGGGGTCAGTCTCCTTTCCCAGGTAACAGGTGACAGGATGAGAGGAAATGGCCTCAAGTTGTGTCAGGGGAGGTTTAGACTGGATATTTGGAAAAATTTCTTCACTGAAAGGGTGGTCAAGCATTGGAACACACTGCCAAGGGAAGTGGTGGAATCACTGTCCCTGGAAGTGTTAAAAATACGTGCGGATGTAGTACTTAGAGACATGGTTTAGTGGTGGATTTGGCAGTGCTGAGTTAATGGTTGGATTAGATCTTAGAGGTCTTTTCCAATCTTAATGGTCGTATAATAGCTGAACTCAGCTGTCTGTATGCTGGACATCATACAGTGAAGATAATTTTCTGTCCTTGGGAAATGCCCTGACATCCTAATAACTTTCTTGCTAGCACCCTGTCTCTATAGATACTGCAGAAGAGTTTGGGAACACATCAGACCTACCTCTCCTGCTATCTCTTTGCTTGCTGCAGGCTCACCTACTAAACACTCCTGAAATAACAGCATACTGATGCTTTCAAAACTTAGACCCTTCCGGGCTATCACCATTGAAGTTTATTTTCTCAACCTCCACCCAGGAAGAGAGTAGCCAACAACCCTGAAATTTCACACTCAGTGTATAATACATGCATTTCAAAAATAATATCATTCGTTTTCTTCTCTCAGTCCAAGTTACATTTCTTTAAGCTAAATGATAAGTATTGTCATGAACACTTGAAGCCCATGTTTAGTCAAATGAGGACTGAGAAACAGTTGTAGGATTAGATCCCTGTAACTTGGTTTTCGGAATAATTCTAGTTTTGAAAGAATTCTACAAGTAAAGAGTTAACTAAAATTGTTCCAGTGCAAATAACTTCACTTGAATTAACCTAAATGGAAGGAGACTGGAGAAGAAAGAAATGGACATATGTGGTAATATTTGATAAAAATCTTTCTGGCACCAGATAAGAGGTCAAAGGTACAACAACCTGATGAATTTGGGGAACATGTACCTGCCAGCATAATGCCTATTGGAGGGATTTCATGAAAAGATATGTATGTAGCTGTGGGTAGGAATCAAAGCAAATACGTCCATTAACTGAAGTCTTTTATTCCTTTTACTCTGTCTTTTTTTAGTAAAAGGAGGAGGAACCTGGAATACACATAAGGCAATTGCTAAAGATGTGTTAGAAGGTTTGGAGGTTGAGCAGCAAGGAGAAAGTATTGGCAGTGAACAATCCCATCAGGAAATTTTCTTTAACTGAATATAATTGGCAAGATGAAAAACTTAAGCATTAACTCAAAGAACCTTGTCAGAAGATAAACAGGATAGGAAAGGACCACCTGAATGATCAACTGCTTGTCCTGCAGTGCCAGGGAACCTGTGTACCAGACACTTAGTTCAGAGGAAAATATTTATTCCATGCATATAATGGCATCCCAACAGCATATCAAAGGAGGAAAGATCCTTGTCACAGGAAAGAGTTCGATAATCTAGAATACTTTGGTATTCCCACAAAGGCAGAACTGCCAGTCCAAACCAGAGAAGTTCCTTCCTGACCCAACTCTGGCAGTTGGTTTAAACCTGCACAGGAGTTAAATATCAAAGAGATGCTTGCAGTGTTTCTCAGTAACTAGAGAATTCAGCCTTCCCACTAACATCCTGTCTCTTGCTGTAGCCAGTTCCCACAGCTTCAGAAGATAGAGAACAACCAGGGCAGCCATGTAAAGAAGGTCTGGATTTATGCAAAGAATGGGAGAAAATAATTTCCACTCCTTTCTGAAGCTACCAGAAGGCCTAAGATTACTGCACCCTTACCACCAGATGAAGTGGAGAAATTTAAACTGTTTATCCAAGATGTGACACAGGGTGATTGAGGGATAACTGAGAGGTAGCATAATAGCATTTAGAAGCAGGAAGAACATGAGCTTAAAGAAAAAGAACTAAAACCAACACGATGACAGCCACTAATGTAACAGACTGAATAGAATAAAAGAATAAAAATAAAATATTCTGAATAAAAGAATAAGAAGGCATAATGTGAACTTAGCAGGGTTGCTTTAGGGCAAGGTAACATTGGGTAAAGCCAGTGTCTTGTTTGGTGGAAGTCAACTCTACTGCTGTCCAAACCAGAATTGAATACTGAAAAGGCATCTGTCAAGTTATTTGAAAGTTACAGTTTGACCTCCTCGATGTAGGCTGGAAAACAGTTGCTCCTGAAAGTGGTTAAGTACATGTATTCCTTCATAAGGGAAGTAACAAGTCTCTTGACAATATTGAGTAACCACAACAAAGAGCAAGAATACTGGGAGAGACCTGCCTGCAGGAAATAACTGTGAGTAAACTGATCACAAGAGAATTCACTTTGAGTGAATACATCAGGAGGCTAAATTACAGGATGTTTGCAATAGGAATTCCCTATTTGGGGAGGACAGACTTTAGAAAGCTTAGTGAGTAAACTGGCCCATAGAGCTAATGGATATAAATGCTAAGTACCTGTACAGTGAAGAGGAGATAGAAGCTAAAAGTACAAATGCTATCTGAAGTCCTATTCACTGCAGGAGAAATCTAGACAAATCATCCTAAACAGAAAAGGATCAATAATCGCCTCTAGATGAAAAGAAGGGATACCAAAGAATAGAAAAGACTGTTCTATGTGTGTTAAATGAAAACAGTTTTCTTAAAGATTTGCATCTTATAGCTTGAGTTCACAGTCAAAGCTTTTCTTGTAGATTAATGGTATTAATGTATCACGTGTGTGGATTCCCTGGAATTTAACAACAAATGAACACAAAGTCTAGCTTTTCTACCAGAGAGAACAAAGCTTTTCCTCTACCCAACAACCTGGTTTTCCTGATTTTTCTCCTGACTGAGAAATCTTAGGACTTTTCCTCCAATACATGCCTTTTTGCACTGGCTACAAATTCCTTGATTTGCCAGCCATGAACTAGAGATTGAACATGACAAAAATTGCTCATGTTTTCTGTGCTTGGGAAGGAGAACAAGGAGTGACACACCACAGTGCTGGTGCCCTGGTGACCCATAGCCACGAGGTCTCACTGCCCAGCTACTAGAATTCAGACACACAAGCCCTCATGTCTTTAGGATGCAGTTCAGCACTTGGCATAAATCATTACTAACGGGCTACAGAACATATTTGTATGTTTAACTCATACTTCAGTGTGGGAAGGGAGAAACAAAAAAAAAATTCCTGCATCAGTGCAGTCGCTTCTGTAATGGATGAGGCAATTTCACACATCCACTGCTCCGTTCTCGTGTTTGTATCTCAGGTTTATCGTATTCGCTGGAAACAGGATCGTTCATGGCATTCTGGGGATGGATCATCGGGGCTGGATCACCTCGCAGGGCCCCCGTCCCCTCGAGGGGCTACGCGCTGCCCTTCGCGAGGCTGCAGCACCGCTTTGCCTTCGTGCGCCGTTCCCGGGCCCGGCTCGAGGGGACGTGTGGCCGCGCTCGTGCCACCCTTCAATCGCTACAACAATTCATCAGCTCTGCCATGGAGCCTCCGGTCACCGGAACCGGGTGGGGCGGGACTGCAGCGGCACGGCGACACGGGCCGCGGACAGCGGGCGGGCACGGGAACACGGCCGCCCCAAGGAACCGAGGCCACGTGAACCCCAGGGACATCAGGGCCCGCGGGAGCGCCGGGACAGCCATACACAGCCTTGCCTCTGCGGCAGCTGCCGGC